CTTAAAAAAAAAAAAAAGGGCACCTGGGTGGCTCAGTCAGTTGAGCGGTCTTGATTTCAGTTCAGGTCATGATCTCGAGGTCATGGAATCGAGCTCTGCATTGGGCTCTGCGCTCAGTACAGAGCCTCTCTCCCTCTACTCCTTCCCCTGATCTCTCTCTCTTTCTCCCTCTCTCTCTCTCCCTGAAATGAAGAAACAAGATAATGCACAGCCTTGTGCTGTGGTCAGAGTATGTGTGCCCCCCACCCCTGACAAGTTCATATGTTGAAATCTGTATGTTGAAGCCCAGGGTAGATATGTTCAGAGGTGGGGCCTTTGGGAGGTGATGCGGTCAGGAGGGTGGAGCCCTCACGAGTGGGATCAGTGCCCTCATAACAGAGACACAGAGAGCTCCTTCATCCCTTCTGCCATGTGAGGGCACAGTGAGGAAGTAGCAGCTGTGAACCAGGAAGCAGGCTCACCAGACACCTTGACTTCAGACTTCCAGCCCAGGAACCATGAGAAAGAAATGCTTGTTATCTGTAAGCCACCCAACCACTTTATGGTATTTTGTCATAGCAGCCCAAGTGGATGAAGTCACCCAGCAAAGCATTTGACTCAGAAGGGATGTCACATTCCTCTTCCTCCGTGTGGGCTCACTCCATCCCTTGTTTCTGCTGAGCTCGTGTTAGGAACGTACAGAGCGGCAGAGAGACTGCTCCCCTGCAGCCTTCCAAGTTAGGCCAATTCACACTGCTGGGAACGCACGGCCTGGCTAGCGGTCTGCTGACTTGCCGGGCCATCCAGGGCCCCGCCTCGCCTTTGTTCTCAACCCTTGATTTTATTTTACTTAAAACACTTTTTGCTATGGAAAAATTTAAGTATACACAGATTAGAGGAGAACAGGAAACACTTATGTCTGTCACCCAGCTTAGAGGACTGTCAGTGTGGAACCAACCTCGTGTGTCCGTCCCCCCCCCGTGTCAGCACTATTTTCTCTCATGCAATCTTTGTAAATTTTTGCTCTAAGTTCTGAACACGTTTCTCTACTTTATCTTCAAATTTGCCAGTTCAGGGGCGCCTGGGTGGCTCAGTTGGTTAAGCGACTGCCTTCCGCTCAGGTCATGATCCCAGGGTCCTGGGATCGAGCCCCACATCGGGCTCCCTCCTCCTGGGGAAGCCTGCTTCTCTCTCTCCCACTCCCACTGCTTGTGTTCCTGCTCTCGCTGTCTCTGTCTCTGTCAAATAAATAAATAAAATCTTTAAAAAAAAAAAATTTGCCAGTTCATCCTTCAGCTACATCCATTTTACTATTCAGCCCTTGCCTCAAACGATTTCTCTCAGCGGCATTTTCAACCCTTTCTTGTTCTCTGATCGCTCTTTTCCTGGGCAATTCTTGTTTCGTGTTTACAAACACCCTCGAGGAGCTTTCTGAGGATAGCAGCTAGGATCCTCCAAGTTGTCTCCTGTTCCATGTAATGCTCCATGTAATCTCTGGTTTTCCTTGAAGACAGTTCACTTTATTCAAATAGATCGTCCTGGTGCACGTATGGATTTCCCGCCAGCGGTGCTTTGTCCTTGGTTGTTGCGCGATAATAACAGTAAGAGGGCAGCGAACAGACCTACGACACTCCCGCGCTGCACGGGCCAGAGAAAGGACTGGCCCTCCGCCAGCTCTTAGGAAATCACCTCCGAGCCTTCGTAATGTCTTGCTTGATCTGAAGCCTTGTGCCCCTGCACTTAGTTAATGCTAATAGCGCGACTGCGGGCCGCGCACAGGGCCGCACCGCATTCTCGGGACCTCCGGAGGCGCGGAAGTCTGCGCACTAAGCCTCCGCACAGGGGCTCGGTGCTTACTCGCCGGAAGCCGGTAATAAAACCTCACTCACAGGTGAGCGTCCCCAGCTGGCAGAGCTCACGAGTGTTGTCACCCGTCACTGCTGGGAGAACCGAGCTCTGCCCGTCTGACTCCACTGTGAAGGGGAAGCTAGAAGCTTCCACCCGGTCTCGCCTGGCCTCACTACCTTTTGCGTTGGCTGATGCTTCCGGTACCACTCCAGCGGGCCCCAACCACGAGCGTAACAGCTTCGAGTTCTGGGAGACCTTCTAGGCAATCACGACTCTGAGGGCGGCCTGTGGACCCCAGTTCAGTTGTCCTGGAGCTTGGTGACTGTGGTGCCCTGCACCCCCGCCCACGGAAAAGGAAAGCTGCCTGTGGGCTCTGTGCAGTCGGATGCGGCCGGCTGGGAGCAGCAGGCAAACGGCAAGGCGAAGAGCCCTCCGGGTGGTCAAAATCGGGCCATTTCCCTGGCTCCTGTCAATGACCATCGCCTTGCACGGCAGCCCGATCCTGCCAGGCCCCCGACGGGCGCTCAGGGAGGCCGTGTTAACATGTCCTCACGGGAGTCCTGGCTGTGGGCCAGCCTTGGCCCTTCCCGGACGACGGGGTGCGTGGAGGAACTGGGGGCCAACTGGGGGGCAACGGGGCGGGGTCGGC